GGACCACAAGCATTGCTAGACACAATAATTATCGTATTTGTACGTTAATTTTGCCCTCTGTACGATGTATGATCAACATGCCCAAACATCCCATAATGTTTGATAATTTGACCATTTTAATGCGACTGAATTAACCCGACACATGGCTGTCTGACCTGAGATTGTGCCGGCTTGGATAGAGGTAGGTAGGCAGGGATGTTGCAGAATCAGCAGCTGTTGTGTTGTTTTCACAAACTCCACTCCTGGTCCATCCCTAACTTTACATAATTTTGTAAACTTGTGTAAATTCTGCAAACTACAGCAACTGCTGTTGTGTGTTGTTTTGACAAACTTTGGCTCAGGTCAGTTTGTAACTTTTTTTACGTACATAAATTTCACAAAGTGTGGAGGTATGGGGTCATTAGTCTCCAAACAATATCGTGTATCGCGATAATTTATGAGACGATTTATTGTCCAGCAAAATTTATCATGACTAACATATGGCCACTTTGTCTTACAAACACAAAAATGGCTAACATTTTATAAATTTGATCGGTGTTGAGTAGGGGTGCAACAATACATGTACCCATATCGAACTGTTCAATACAGTGCTTTAGGTTCAATACACACTTGTATGGAACAATACAGATTTTTAAAATTTATTTCATCARCTTGTCTTCTGAAGATGCTCTGTGTTGAAGGATCAGTGGATCTGTGTTCGACTACTCTGCCTAGGCTGCATTGTTGAGCACAGATCCACTGAGAAACTTGCTGTTTCAGCAACATTTAATTTAAAAACTGGACTTTTGASGTTAAACAAATAGTCATAATTAATTTAATTAAATTACAAGTTTAAAAGGACATATAAATTTCTCTTTTTTGTATCGAAAAATATCGAACCGTGAGACTAAAGTATTGAAACGAACCGAATTGTGAATTTTCTGTTTCGTTGCACCCCTAGCATTGAGAGAGCCTGGTGTGACGATTCCTCAAAAAATAAAATATAAAAACTGAGTGAGAGATGTAGTGAAAAKGCACTTAAGTTTTAAGCTTTGATCAAAACTCTTACAACTTCATTATTAGATACTGGTGTAAAATTCTGGCATAAAAATGAAAAGTGGGCATTTAGATTTCTAAATATTTAAATTGGTACATTCTTTACACAGTATTTATCTTAAATAATTATTGAACCTGTGAACTAAAAGTATTTAAGACGTTTTTTTTTTTCAAGTTTGTGATTCAGTCTTGAACAAACTTTAAAAAGAACATTTCGCTGCATGAGCCCGCTGAAGAGTGACAGCTGAGCCTCTTCACAGGTCAGTAGTAACACACAGTAACACACACATCTCAGGAACTTCACTGACACTGACTTTCCTGTGAACCTACAAACATCCCAATCTGTGCTTTCTAAATGAGTGCAGAGAGGCGACAAGCTGGGCTGATCGATGTGAGCGCTGAAGCCAAAAAGATCAGCACAAACAGAGCTGTTTAAGCTAAAGCAGGTCAGCTGTAAATACTGAGGAGTTGACATTTTGGAAGGCGTGAATGTTGGAAATCAATAAAGGTCGCAGGTTGGCTACTAAAGGTCAAACATTTCTGTCCAAACAAAAYGAGAATTAGTGAGAGGTAAATATCAATACAATCACATTTGCACAATAACTGTTTTAACACCTTGACAAATCAGCTATGGTTTTAACTATACAAACTCATTATTTTTATTAACTCAGCCTCTCATAGTGGGCAAACAGATTTTTAAAGAAACACGAATCTCTAACTCCGTGTCTTATTAGTGACAAGCAACTAAATGGATCRTTTTTTCTCTCCTTTTACAGCTGTTAGCTTTCTTCCACAACACATTTCTGTGTTTTTATCCAAGCTTCACGCCAATTTTTTACCGTTTCTGCCTCTGCTAGAAAAAATGTCACAGACGACCATATTCAAATTAAAATTTGTTTACACTTACAGATGCCGTGCTATCCAAGTGAGCCTGYGTGCCATCAATCCAGCCCTGTCGACGAATTAATCAAGTCCCACGTATCATCCGTGGCCACATTTTTATTTGAATAAATAAGATGCCACGTTCATGTGTTGCATCACATTTGGGTGAAAATATTGACACCTGGTCCTCAGTTCCAACAGTTTCAAAATTAATTTAGTTTAAAGGGGACATACCCTGCAAAATCCACTTTTTTAGCCATTAAATTCATTTTTGTGTGCGCTCATAGCTTTTAGCAAGGCAGAAAATTTGAATTTAGTTTCTCSCAGTGCTTCAGTGATATTATATTCTGTTTGGATCAYATTTTTCAACATGCAGAGTTTTAAGTCACAGAATTTGAGAGGTCTGGACTCAGCAACTATAGTTTGATGGTCTTTACTCTCATCTTGCTCTGGGTCAGACACTGGTTCCAACATGTAAGGCTGGCTGAATAAGTTTTATATTGCTGACATCTTTTAATGTAGTTGTAAGTAAAGMGTTTCTTTAAAGAGGCAGCCTCAAATCGAGTTGATCTGAGGCACACCTCAGAAAAGGGGTGAAAGTGGGGCTTGTGGAGTTACAATAAGGAGGAATTTACACCAAAGCATTGCAGTTCTACTTTATGTAGACCCAAACTGAATGATTTAAATGTGGAAAAAGATTTTATAAGCATGATACGTCTAATTTAACTAAATTAAAATAGTGTCTGTACCTACAAAACATACATGGATGCCATTTCCTCTGTAAGGAAAGTAACTACTGGCCATTCTGAAAGCTGCTAAATGATGTCATCATCTATTTTATATTACTGAACATTTTTATGCAGTTATAATAAACACTGTAGCAGAGACAATAACATTGTAGGAAAGATAAAARTACTCCCATAAGTTTTTTCATTTATTTTTGTTTATTTTTCAATATTTTCTATTCACACCTCCATTGAACTTAGTGACTTCATTACAAACTACAGTATTTGATGACGTAAGTAGAACGTAATGACAATCAGCAGCACATACCACGAGACTTGTATTTGTAACACTTGTACTGTCATTGTTACAATGGTGAGTCAACATTTGTGAAAAACTTGTCTTTAAAAGGTTAACTTGAGTTGATTGTTGGATATAAAAATGTGGCTCACTGCTGAGTTATAAAGTGTTGACCTCATTTGCTGCCTTGTGAGTCAGGCTTCATAATTGTTTTTTGGAAAAAAAAACTATTTTTTGAATAGTTTTAGGGTAGTAAATCAGGCTAAATGACATTGAGTCATCTCTTTGTTTTGTAGTGCACTAACTGATGAATCTAATTTTGTATCACAATAATTAGGAGGTGAATCATATTGTCATACTGTTTGTTTTGCTGCTTGTGTAATTTCAATATATTGTTTGTGTGTTGCAATGCAGATCCTATTGGCTACAAACCAGAAGAGCAAACCTCGAGTGCATTTAGGTTTTAACTTAAATCCTCCTGACTATCAGGTTTCAGGACTCTTGGGAAATTTTTTTCATTTATATTATAGATTTACTATTAAAAACATATCGTAAATTGGGTTTGTGGATCATTTAGTAACTTGTTTGTCAACTGCCAAATTGTATTTTTGTCTGAAGCTTATGAAAAAATATATTAGATTCAGTACAACAAGAAAARGTGCATTTCCTGCAAAAATACAATGTAAATGCTTAATGCTGAAAGGTTTTTGCTGAATATCTCAAAAAAGCTGAAACTAGCCTAAAAATGGCTTAAAAGTTGYTGAAATTAGCACAAAGAAACAAAGATCATGTTTACTGAAGTAGGCAATAAGAAGTTGAATTTATCACAAAAAGGTGAATGAAGCTGCAAAAAAGCTCCATTTAGCTAAGAAGTAACCAAAATCACAAAAAACTGAAAGAAGCATAAAAAAGTKAAAATTAGCAGAAGAATAGCAGAAAAGGTCAAAAATGATGGCCAAAAATGCAGAAGACAAAGCTAAAATCAGCAAATCAGAAGCCACAATAAGCACAAATAAAGATCACATTTGCTGAATTAAGCAATAAGAAGCTGAATTTATCACAATAAGGCAAATTAAGCTGAAAAATCTGCAATTAACTAAAGAGTAGCTAAAATAACAAAAACAGCTGAAATAGCAGAAATCAGCTAAAAGATGCACATAAACTTAAAATACCCAAAGGAAGCACAAAAAAGTGAAAATTAGCAAAATAATAGCAGAAAAGGTCAAAATGATTTCCAAAAATGCAGAAGAAAAMGCTAAAATCAGCTAAAAAGAAGCTGAAGGAAGCTAAAATTAGCACAAAGATCATGTTTGCTGTTTGCAATAAGAAGCTGAATTTGTTACAAAAAGGTGAATTAGCATGAAAAAATGTGAATTAGTTAAGAAGTAACTAAAATCACACAAAAAATGAAAATAGCAAAAAGCAGCTGAAAGAAGCATAAAAAGTTGAAATTAGCAGATGAATAGCAGAAAAGGTCAGAATGATGGATACAAATGGAAAGGAAAAAGCTAAAATCTGCAAAATAGAAGCCAAATGAAGCTGAAATACACACAAAGCATAAGAAACAAAAGGTAAAAAGTACAGTAAAAAATGTTTAAACATTTTGAAGAGTTTTACTGATGTCGCAAACAGCTTCATTCATTTTCAATGAGGAAAAACRGCTGAAAATGCTAAATATCTCCTAGTATAAACTGCCAGAACGTCCTGAAAGAGCTGAATGTTTTCTATGTAAATTGTTGAAATGAGACAAAACCTGTGGAACAAGATAAATATAGAAAAAGGTACAGAAGAAAAAAACGATCTCAATAATGTGAATATTTTTTTCAGCCTTCACAYAATAAGGCATTGTTGCTCCTAAATAAACAAATCAGCAGGGTTCACTTCCTCCAGCTGAAGTCTTGAAAGTCGACCTTTTTTTCTGTCAATAAAATTGACTTTCTGTCGATTAAACTGCTGCTTTTCTCTCAGTTAAATTAAGACTTAATGTCAGTAAAACTGACACTTTAATCCACATTTACGGTTTATTCTTAAAGAAACTTCCATGTTTTTTTTTCCTTCAGAGTGACCCTTTCGCACCGCTGTAATAGGAGCTGTTTAGAAAAGGTTATTATTTTTTTCCATTCATCATGCTGGCAGTGTGAAAAGTGTTAACTAGCAAATGGTCAGCTGTGTGAAACCATGGCAACTGAGCACAGGGTCTCGTGTGTTTCGCTGATATAACATATAAAATACATCATCATGAGCCTGTTGTTGCACTCCTGTTCTTCTCCCAGCCTCGGCTCCTGGAGCTTGTTGGCAGACTTTGTACTCAGGTTTGATGCCTGGGAACAATTTCAGCCACATGGATTCGACAGGAAGTCATTTTCTGCTGAAGTCACTTCCACACGTCACGAAGGGGCGAAAGGGAAAAAAAAATGCAATAAAAGGGAGGAAAAATCCAAGTCATGACCCGGAGGTACGGTGAGGGAATCTAATGTGATGTGCTGATGGTTCAGTGGCGTCACTGGGTAAAGTGTKAAAGTGCAGCATGTTCTGATGGGGGAACTCTGAGTCGGGCTCGGGATGAAGAAACGTTCTGCTTCCTGACAGAATCATCTTCTGCTGAGTTATGGAGCAATAATTAATCTGCACAAGAGAAACAGGGCACCTTTACTAAATGAATGCCTCGAGGCAACGCAGTAATGAGGGTTTATTCTTGTGTGTGTTTGCACCATTAGCAAAATATCTCATGAACCACCAGACGGACTTAAATGAAACTCTAAAAGTAATAAATGGATAACCTTTCCTGGTTGTGCAAGGCTCTTTACAGATTTTCTCATTTATCCACTGCCACACATTTCTACAGCTTCCTGTTTCTACACACTACATAAAGCATTTCTATACTCTTAATAGATGGTTGAAATGAGATCATCAGAGGTACAACACAGGTTGAATGATGACAGAGAGGCCAGAGGAGGGATAGTGGACGGATGTTAGACATGGAGACACTAGAGAAAAGGTACAGAGGGGGTAGAGAGGACATAGGATGCACAGTGAGATGGACAAGGATGAGTCAGGACCCCTGAAGACGTGACATTGGTAGTTTTTATTTTTAGTTTTTTTTTTTTTTTTTGCAGTGCGTGAACTGGGGATTCGAATCTCGGACTCTATTTGAAAGATTCTGGGACTGGGTGATTACGACTGACAAACTGATCAAGATATAAGTGTGTCGTATCGGTCGATAATGATAATTATTAATTAGGTTTAGAAACTGGTCTGACTCTTGTCAAACTTAAAATATCTGAACTACTGCCGTACTAATGACTGTTGCACTCATTTTCTCCTTTCATTCTTGGTGTCGTATTGACCCCCCTCTTSAGTTTTTAGATGCCTTATTTCAGTGCAACAGCATCCTAAATCAATAATTAATTTCATATTAACCCTAGAATGGTGGACCGGTCCAGCAAGTTAGCGCTCTGTCGCTTGAATGTGCCAGCMAGGGGGGAGAAGAAACATTGGATTACACATTTCAAAATAAAGCAAGACAGGTTTTTTTTTTCTTTTTTAGTGGAGATTTGTTGTTTATTAACAGCTTAAAGCTTTTATTTTGAAAGTGAATCTTCAGTTTCATGGTGTTTAGCTGATAGGTCATCAGAAAGTTATCAACCATTAGCAGTTAACAACTAGTGAAATTGAACATGTGTTTATTGCCATTTTTATAGTTATTTAATTATCATCCAGCCCTAGAAGATCCACACCCTGCCTGTGGGCCATGGTTATGTGAGACTCTTATCTTTAATCGAGGCCGACATCCAGCTCCATGGCAGCTAGAGAATTTGGGCAGGAYGGTGGCTCAGTTGGTAGAGCYGATGCCTCTCAGCAAGAAGGCCGCCGGATCAAATCCCAGCTAGGGGGCCTAGCGTGGGTCCTTCCCAGGTATTCTTGCTTCCTCCCAGAGACCAAAAACATGACTTTTAGGTTAATTGATAACTCTAAATTGTCCCTAGGTGTGAATGAGAGARTGAATAGTTGTCTCTGTGTCCCTGTGATGGACTWCCCCGCCCCTCACACTSTGACTGCTGGATATGGGAAAAAAATTAAAAGCGAAACAAAAAATTTGAAATTTTGTTGTACAAAAATMCTGAGAAATAGCAGAAAAGTAACTGAAAGGCCTGAATCTAACACAAAGAAGCAGAAAGAGCACATTTGCTGCATTGAGCAGCTGGGGGAAAAAAGTAACTAATTACAAAAGTGGGAATTTAGCTAAAAAGGCTAACATTAGCTGAAAATGGCTGAATTAAATGTCAGAAAACAGTAAAAAAGCCTAAAAAGCTTGTTATACAAAAAAGTCATTAACAGAGTGACTAACAAAACAGAAAATAAGGTAATATTAGCTGAAGGAAGCTAAATGTCGCATAAGTTTAAAAAACGGCACAGCTGGAACAAAAGGTATRAAGTGCAGGAAATGTTGAACTATTTTGAAGGATTTTAAGGATGTTGCAGACAGCTTCGTTCATTTTCCATGAGAACTAAAAATGTCCTAAAGAGCAAAATATCTCAAAAAGCATAAATTGCTGAAGTATCAAAAATCCCAGCTGAAATGTCCTGAAGGAGCTGAACGTTTTCATATAAACTGTAGAAACRGCACAAAAAACTGTAGAACAAAATATGTGCTGAAAAACATATGGAAGAAAGTCTTATCTCAATGCACACAATTAACACCATCGTTTGCTCATATTTAAATACTTAAGGTGTCAATAAATCAAACATTTGTAGGTAAAATTTGGGATTTACATGTTAACAGTGGTGATGTCCATAAAAGAGATGTTTTAGATCAAACTCTGACAACTGTAATAAATTACTTCACATTTTTGCCAAAATCCAGGTAAGCTTTGAGAAGCTGGAGAAAACATAAACATGCCGTTTATTTTAAATCCATTTTCTACTCCCAAGAACTAAATGCAGCCTAAATTTCCAAGAAAAATGCCCCATAGACTAATTAATGTTTCTGTCTGATGGGGGAAACTGGATGATTGAGTAAATGAAACATCATTTGAACCTAATTGCCTTGTTGCTCCTGCYGAAGCAGCTTCAGTACAGAAGATTAGCATGCTCCATCAGACTGCAGACCATGGCACCACTGTGCAACTTGTATTATTTATGCTCCGACTCGTGCGCAGCTGAAAATGTATTTTCTTTGTTGCGGTGAGAATGAATCTAAACTCCGCAGCTTGGGATACAAACACTTTTACATTCATCACTCGTGGGCTTGGTTAGAAATGCACGCTTGGCAGCTATTGATTAAAAAAATAATAATGTTGCTGCATTGCTGCTGACTAGATTTGAAGTRAGAATAGTTTTAAAAATTGGCTCTAATTATGGTGATTATTTCTTTTTAAGCCCACAACATCAAAGAATTCTCTGGTTCCAGCTAGTCTGAATGGGATTTCTTTTAATTAAAAACCCAAACACTAACTCATTCATTAGACATTTGGTCCAAACTCCCATTAGTCAAAACCTACACATCAGCTGATAGATGCTGTGGATGTGGAGTTTTAATGGTGCATTCTAAACTTCAGGGAGAATCCCTGCTGTTGATCTGTTCTTGTCCTCAGATGGGAACGAGATGAAAAATGTGGGAGCAAATAGTGTGGATTTCCTCACAAATGCAACCACTTATTTTGGATTATCGTGATGACATAAATAAAACTGTAACAGTATCTGTTAATTAGCTGCACCGAGCTGCTTATTACTTGGGGAAATGCCACAGATGTGTGGGCTGCGTGCGTGCTTACAGTCTGCAGCAGTTCGTTTAAGAATAATACACTGTAAAAACCAAACTGCTGCAGAYTATAAAGTTCACGTAAATGTTCCAACTAAATCACAGTTAATAAATCAAACTTGAACCAATTTTTACATTATTCCTCAGTTATTTTAACACACATTTTCTCAAAGCAAAAAAAATCATATTTACATTTGTAGCTTTTCAGTAATGTAAATTTGAACAGTTTCTGCATAGTTTTAATAAATAAAACGGGTAAATCCAAACTAGTTTATACTTCGTGTCATTCAACTATGTTAATAAAATATAGTTAGCTTAAACAACAAATTAAGCTAAATGTGATCTTGTTTAAATGAAAATACAAACTATTAGAGCTGCAACAATACATGTACCTGTATYGAACCGTTCAATACACACTATGTATCAAACAATACAGATTTTATTATTTTATCAGCTTGTGAGACGCTCTGTGTTGAAGGATCAGTGGATCTGTGTTCGACTACTCCACCTAGGCTGCATTGTTGAGCACAGATCCACTGACAAACTTGCTGTTTCAGCAACATTTTATTTAAAAGCTGTACGTTTGAGGATAAACAAATGTTCATAATTAATTTCAATAAATTACAAGTTAAAAAAGGGCATGGACATTTCTCTTTTCTGTATCGAAAAAATATCGAAGCGTGAGATTAAAGTATCGAACCGAATTGTAAATTGTCTGTATCGTTGCACCCCTACAAACTATACTTAAAAATAACAACTAATTACCAGTTATTACATAATGAGAAATGACTAAAACTTGATCTGAAATCTGTGGATGAATTTTGATTGATGGGTAAACTTAGCTAAACCAAAACCTCCCTAATTGCTAGTGTCCAGAAAGTTTCTAATGTCAACTTTTACAAAATTATTTGTATTTTTGACTCAAAAGAAGGAAACTTGTTGTTCTGATGGATGCAACAGATAAACTGTTGACCTGAAGGACGTTGGCTGCAAAATCTGTCTCTTCAGTTCAGCTTTTATCKTTCTTTTAGGTTGAGAGTTTGAAAATTCAAATTTGACCATTTTTATTTGCAAGTGACTATTACAGTTGATTAAAATGAAAAAAAAAATCYGAATTGGTAACATTTTGTTTTACAGTCTCTTCTTTTACAGTGTGAGACAAACCAGAAGAGCATAAATCTAATAATTTAGATGAGTAAAACAGAACTGCAGCACTTATTGCTCTGTGGGGACAAATAGTTGCCATCCGCTGAGGTTTCCAGCAACAAAAGCTGCTTTGAAAGGAGGAGACCTGCTATTTGAAAGCGTCAGCATCATTTCATCACACATTCGCTCAGTGACATCTTTTCAACYACTGCCCAGCTCCCCCATTTGACTGAGAACTCTCAAATGTTCTGCCAAAAATCTAAAATAAATAAATAAAACAGAATCACTAAGATGCCCCTCCCAAACCACAGAGCCACTCGTGAGAAGTGTGGGTTTGTGTGTGAGCGAAGGGTTTAGCTGTGGAGCATCCACACTCAGTAAAATGGAGGAGGTGATAGGCAGTGTGGGATGAGATTGGAGGTGCCCTGAGC